GTACCCTTTAGATTACATTTTAGAACACTTTGCAAAATTCCACTCTCATAACTTTTGTATCTTGTACAAATCCATCTGAATATCCTGTCGCACACCGTATACAAGACCACCTATATATGATACACCCCGCACGCATTCTATTACACATACCCTATAGGACACTCTATACAAGACACTAGATAGAATATCTTATAGGATGTCCTGTAGAATATATTCTCTATGTATCTTGAAACCTTTCATATGGAATGCACTGATATAGAATACCCTCATGCATTATTGAATACCCTAGAGCTTCTGATACTTTCAGTCATGGCCCGTATATCTTTTGAATATCCAAAGTACCTTACAGAATACGACATAGAATACCCTACAGAATACCTTATGGAACACATAGTACCCTCTATATATCGCACTCCTCATGGAAGACCGTCTGGAATACTCCAAAGAAGACCTCACAGAATGCCCCTATGGCCCTATATATGACAGTCCATGTATACAGTATATGTACCTTGAACACATATGACACCGCACGCATTATATTACACATACCCTATAGGACACTCTCTACACGACACTATAGAATATCTTATAGGATGTCCTGTAGAATACTTTCTCTATGTATCTTGAAACCTTTCATATGGAATGCACTGATATAGAATACCCTCATGCCTTATTGAATACCCTAGAGCCTCTGGAATACCTTATCATATGATCAAGCCTCACTACACGAAAGTGTACAAGGTGAAGCTGCCGAACGTCAACTTTCTGAGTGTGAAAAGCGGCACGCAGATAATCGACCGCTTTTTGGGACATTTGCGTAGCTTTTTGAAGCACACAGATCGCACTCCAGGCAACCAGGCCCTCACAAGGAAGATTCGCTCAGCCCAGTTCACCTACTGGTTTCGCTATGGCAACATGTGGAAAGCCACAGGTACCATGCTTGACTTCCTTTGGAACAATAGCTAGGGGAGCTGCCTTGCCTCTGCAAATGCCATCGCAGGCACCATTTTGATTTCGATGCTCCAGCGGTAAGCTGTGAATCGGCACCCAGCGACTCCTCGCGCACAAAACATCGGCCCGAAGCAATCGTGCATCAGTCCTGCTCCACATGGTTTGCCGAGACGTCGGACTCATGTTCGTACTGAAAGTAATTAGATCGTCCACCTCCAACAATCTTTGCCGCAGCATTCACGGTTCCAGCAAGAAACTTAGAGTAGAATGGTACCTGAATTCTGCTTCTCCAAACCCAAATTTTAGGGACAGTACAGCACTTTAGGGCACTGGAGCTTCAATAGTGCTGTACTGTCCCTAAATTTGGCCTCTGCCAAACCCAACTTTTAGGGACAGTACAGCACTTTAGGGCACCTGGGTTTCAAAAGTGCTGTACTGTCCCTAAAATTTGGCTTTCCCAAGCCAAAAGTGCTGTACTGTCCCTAAAAAACCTAAAAAACCTATCCTCCAGAGACTATCGGCTGGGAACGCTTGAAGGTTGCTGGGAGATAGGTTTTTTAGGTTTTTTAGGGACAGTACAGCACTTTTGGCTTGGGAAAGCCAAATATTAGGGACAGTACAGCACTTTAGGGCACTGGAGCTTCAAAAGTGTTGTACTGTCCCTAAATTTAGCCTCTGCCAAACCCAACTTTTAGGGACAGTACAGCACTTTAGGGCACCTGGGTTTCAAAAGTGCTGTACTGTCCCTAAAATTTGGCTTTCCCAAGCCAAAAGTGCTGTACTGTCCCTAAAAAACCTAAAAAACCTATCTCCCAGCAACCTTCAAGCGTTCCCAGCCGATAGTCTCTGGAGGATAGGTTTTTTAGGTTTTTTAGGGACAGTACAGCACTTTTGGCTTGGGAAAGCCAAATATTAGGGACAGTACAGCACTTTAGGGCACTGGAGCTTCAAAAGTGTTGTACTGTCCCTAAATTTGGCCTCTGCCAAACCCAACTTTTAGGGACAGTACAGCGCTTTAGGGCACCTGGGTTTCAAAAGTGCTGTACTGTCCCTAAAATTTGGCTTTCCCAAGCCAAAAGTGCTGCACTGTCCTTAAAAAACCTAAAAAACCTATCCTCCAGAGACTATCGGCTGGGAACGCCTGCAGGTTGCTGGGGGATAGGTTTTTTAGGTTTTTTAGGGACAGTACAGCACT